ATTTTGCGCACGCGAGAATCTTGTATACCTCAAGACTCTAGGTAGCCTACAGACACATAAATGAAGGCACCAATATCTAGACGTCGTGTGTTATAAAGACGACACACGCTCTGTCTAGTTGAGTGCACTCTGCGTCTTCGCATTCATTGCGCGAGAGAAGAAGAAAGTCCGTACACGACCTGAAGTTTAAGTTGTTGTGTCAAATTATCTACTAAATCTGTTATGTATACATACCCCTCGAGCCTCTATAGTCGCGCTATAGAGTCAACCTCGGAGACCGTCCTTACATCCGTCCGGCACGAAGACCGACGGTACCAACGATAAGTCAGATACAAAATGTTGATCTCGAGCAGGAATAAGAACTTATTGCACTGACTCAGTTCAGAACACTTGTAGCTGCTTACAACGGGGTCGTAGAACCAAGGGTACTCTAACAATATTTTTACTGCGAGCGTTGCTGCGCACCACGTTCACGAGCGACTATAGACTTCTGCGATATCTACGCGGCTAGGAAGCAGGGCACGCTCTATGCGTCCCCAAGAAACTATCTCGCTCAACATCTTAAGATTTCGCGACCCTCGACGGTGAGACGGCTCTCCGTTGTGAGGATGGTGTCCACAGCCGGGGACGTCTCGCCCTTTGTGGCAGTCTAGGAGGTTGTGTTGTGCAGGCTTCGACGCATGTCCTTTCTGAGTGTCTACATCAGGCACTATATCTGAGTTGAGATTGCGGCGTCAAAAGTTGAAGTACAGAGGCCAAGACTACGAGAGCAGTAAAGGAGAGGAGAGGAGAGCTACGAATCGACGTCAAACCGGAGTGGCACGCTAGGAGGCTCGAGCGTCCCTCTGAGCCACGTACGACATAGACGACTACGACGTGTCTACTGAGAGTTTCATAGACTGCACTCATCTGCCTTCAAAAATGACCCTAGCACAGTCGGTCATCGTCAGCTATTCAGACTACATTTTTCTTGCACTCAGTTACTCTTAAATGAATGCTCTATATTCGTCAGACTCGAGGCCACAGTCCTATAGTCTCCAGCTATTTTACTGTAAGTGTCTCCATACTCTACTGGGTCCCATAGAGAAGCTTTATGGTCCAGCAATATTAATTAAAAGAATGCCAATGGCTCGTGCACAACAACCTAACCTTTTCAGTCTCAGTTAGTATCTACTCAAAGTTAAATAAAAAATTTCTTTTAAAGTCTAACTTGCTCACAACTGTCCCTGACCATTTAAGTATCAACATGCACGTTTTCTATCGCGGCTGAATATCTCGTCCCTTCCCGCCATGCTGAAACCTACTACCCAATCATCTCCGTCTCGACTCCTTCGGTCTACGTGTTGTATATTCATGTTGACAAGTTCGCTACTAGTACCTTAGTTTCCCTGTAACTCCAAAAATCGTCTAATCGTCCTATTACGACTGTTAAGACCGTGGATAAACCCGTGTAATATGTTAGTAGAATGGTCTGGGGTAAAGGAAGTAGGTAAAAACTGCTCACTGTCGCATGGAGTATTGGCGGTCTTGGCTTAACTAACTGCACGTTCACACGTAGTGTCCGCTCGCGAATGGTTGTGTACTTGTCTTATTGCCTCACTCTCACTGCGCACTCGACGCTTGGGTCCTGTAGACTGGAGTCCAGAACCGCCTTGCCTGAACTTCGTCCTTGAAACACTCTGAAATGTGTCTCTCTCTCCTAATGCCTAATACGTCGTTACGACAGTATCGGTGTCTATTGTATAGGAGCTGAGCGGTACCGCGTCATAGGCGCAGACTGTATGGAAGTCTCCGGACGCTGTAGGCCCCAGACATATACTGGACCAGGTGGCCGTTATGCTAGAATATAGTCTAGTTGGTCCAGTGTGACCGTTGTCTTCGTGGCTTCTACATACTGAGACCTAGCTCAGTTAGTCCCTCCCCGCAAGCCGACCTAAGTCTCAATCTCGGTGGCATAAATTTCAGACACCACTTGTACGTCTCTACATCCATCGACCGGTCGCTGTACAGCGTGTTCACGTTTTGTTCCCGACGTTATGTACTAAGGTGTAACACGTGTATTACCGTGTTAAGGCTCTAGCCTATTTCCTGCGCAACTCTCAAGCTATAACCAAAGGTATCACTAGTCAGTGTTATATAGTAGTATGTATTTGTAATAAGGCCCTCATTTATGAACTGATATAACTTATTGTCAAACGCGATACTACAAGCGATGTGCGTCGAAAACCGTTATATGTGCACCGTAGGCACGTAATCGTCACAATTTTAGAATGAAAGGGTAAACTCTTAGTAGACCTACTAATGACGCTGCCGCGACTACATAATCGTTTCATCTTTACGCGGTAGGTGCCTCGAACGATGCGTCGAAAGTCAGATCCACGAGCTCGAGTACTCGGTCGCCCTTTTACTGCCTAGACGAGAAGGGACCGGAGACGACTCGACCACCGACACGTAATGTTGGTTCAGCAGGGGACAGTTTTAGGCACAGTCACATTAATCTTACTTTGCGTAGACCACTAACACCGCGTGCCAGACACACTGCAGTGCCATAACTTTTAGTATTGCGCTGCCAGTAAAGCTTTAATGGGACCATATGGGCAGTATGGCGCGGGTTCGGATAATAGTTGGATACCCAGTTGGCTAAGTCGACGAAAAAATAGAGCCAATATACGTAACTTGTGCAGAAACTAGTCTAACTGTCGTGCCACCTCTGCTAGAGGGCATTTTCGAAGGCATTTCCATGCACAACACTACAGACACAAACGCAGTAGGTCTGTGGCGCTTCTTACTCCTACTGCCGCGGGACGCGAGCCTCCTCCGCTAACCGACCTTGCACGTCGTGGGACTTCCGTAGCCTCTCCCCTCTCCTACTCCTTTACTAGCTCTCGTTAGCTCTTGGACCTCCTGTACTCTCAACATTTTGAGACGACAATCTCAATATTATCAATGTCTATGGGAACACATCCGAAAAGGACATCCGACCCTGTCACAAACACAACCTCCTAGACTGCCACAAAAGGGGCGAGACGTCCGGTGTGCCACTCCCTTCACCCAAAGGTACCCGTCAGGGTCCGACCTCTAGATGTTGGCGAAGTTCTTGAAGGACGCCTGGGGGTGCACCTGGCTCTCTGCCGGTGTTGCACAAGTCCTCTTCTTAGTCGCTGTACACGTTTCCATTCAAGTTGACAAAATATTTGCACCACACGCATGTACGACCGTTTACAGCCTACAATTTTCCTGAACTGGAAGACAATAAGGTCTCTTATTCGCTCTCAATCAACATTTGATACTTCTGGACCGTCGAGTCTCTCGTGCAGGACCGGATGAAGGACGGTCTCGAGGTTGACTTCTACAACTTTCACTCAGGTTGGAAATAATAAATGAGTAAGTATAATTTGACAACCAACACACTTAAATTTAGGTCGTGTAACGGACTTTCTCTTCTTGGTTAATTATGCAACGAAAGGTGCAGTTCAACACAGACAACGTAAGTCTCCTTTACACCACTGTCTGAATTGTGCTCATCTTTTGTTGTTGACCTGAGATACTGAGGTAAGTTTGGTAGGTCACAAAATTGGTGTAACACAGAGGAGGACAGTAGTCCAAAAACTACTTCGTCGATTCTCCCCACGACCGGTACAGGGTTTATGCTGCGTTAACGGTGGCTGCTAAGTACAGCCGTAGACGTTGACGGCGACCAGCCTCCTCTAGGCGAGTGATCCAGTATAAAGTGAGGGAAGTACATGTTAATAAATAGACAGGAGACAACAATTAAGGGGGTTTTACTAACTACATTGTCAAACCAGACCACTGAAAATTTATATACGTAATGAACTAAATATTCTAATTTTATGAAAAAAAAACAATTCTTTCGTTTGGGTAAAATCTATTGATCAAATTATGAGGGTTTTGTTATGGAGTATTCCCACCATCAGTTGCGCATAAGTTTAGTTTTTCTTGCTGTAATCGTCGACTCCGAGAAGACGGTCCGTCGGTCTGCTCAAAAGTATAACGTACACAGGCAGTCACCCGATCTCTTATTGGTTTTTAGACCTCCTCCGATAAAGCAATGGAATGTTTCTTATACCGACTATGCGTACCTAAACAAAAATGAATCAGATGCGTCGAGACTACCTACCTTGGTCAAATCTAAAGATACCGGATTATCTCACTTAGTATATCTCTCACTAACTTAACTGACACATCGTGTTTGTGACGTATGTAGTAGTAGTAGGATAACTTCTCGTGACCCGTCTGAGGACTAGTTATACTCGTCTACCTTACCACTATTAGCGTACCATTCACGTCTACTTGGTCCAGATCGTGCTATGCCCAAAATCTTCCGTTCATTTGAATTACTTTAAGGGACGCAGAGAGGAGAGGAGGCGTCCGCGAGGTGAGACTTTGGTCGAACTAGCCTGATGTCCGCCACCCACTCGTCGAACGTGTCGCCACGAGGGGTCGAGCCGACCACTCATGTCTGACATTGTCAGCAATTGAGCAACGACCCTGGGGAAGAAGTCAGGTCTTGTCCTCCACTGTGCGGCCCGAGGACAAGGGGCTCACAGTCAGGACCCCGGAAAGCTCTAGTTGTGACGCCGTCCACTCTCCGGACTCGCACCTTTGCAATGAAACAAGTCTCATAGTAAAAGATACGAGTAAAATCATTATAAATAAAAAGGGTTTCTTTAATATTTTATGCTTTGCAAAAAATAGTAGATTATTCTAAATTTCTTTTTATTTTATTGTTTCTCAATTTCATTCTGAACACGTTAAAAATCTTTCTAGTTTGAAGTTTATTTGTGATAGTAAATGTACAGTATAAAACTAGTCGTCTTAATTAAAATGTTAAACTATACGTCTTGGGTTTATCGCCGACGTACCACCTTTTTTTTTAGTGATAAAACGTTAATAAGACTGTTTAATTATGAGTAAAAAAAGTATTTTTATTACTATTCTAGTAAACACCAAATCGATTTCTTTTCCTAACAAGGCTAGGTAGGAAAAGAAATAATTCAGACATTGTGCGTATACAACCAGGCCACTGAATACAAAATCCTAAAAAGTGTATAAAACGCAATTTGGTGTATAAGCACGGATGATATACGAACTATAAACATTAAATAACACCGTCGGGAGTCGTTCGAAATACCTAAAAGACAAAAGTTGTGAGAGATAACAGAGTCACTTAATTGGTGAGGGAGGGGAGGACGTCTGGTTTCACAGTGGCTTGATGTCTCCTAGTGTAGTGGTCCTCGCAGGCTCCATTCGCAGCGGGCCGTCCTGCGGAGGCGCGAGGTTTCTGCGGTAGGACCGAACCGCGACCACCTGGTTTGCCGTTCGGCCTCTGCTCAACATTCAATTTGTGTATGATTTGCGACATCTGAGTTGTTAATCGGAAATCAGTACACAATAAGGCGTCAAGGAGAATTTGTGCAATAGAGGGTAGGACGCGCTCGCAAGTTGAGTACAAAGTCTGACACACTCACACACGAGGAGGAGAGGCACGCGAGCAGGAGACCTGTCCCGCTGCTACCGAAGCCAGGAAGCAGGCCAACCGACCGGGCCGCTGCGGACCATGACCCCACTACACCAAACCGATTCTAGTGGCATCGCTTGTGGCCCTTGGCAATCGGTACAAGTCTTCTCGGCAGCATTCAACAACACCATCTACCGCAGTCAAGGACCTCCCCTTTCCAAAAATTTTGTGTACCATAAATCATACTTACGAAAATCCGTTTAGTAAAGTTCTAAGTGTCCGAACACTAACAAACTCCGATGCGCAATCAATACACAAATTGAATGTTAGAGCAGAGCGCCCGAACTCAACAGGGCCAGCCGTCGTCCTACCGCAGAAAACCTCGCCGCCCCGCAGCCGCCGCTGGAATGGCCCGAGAGGACCTACCAACTAGGAGACCTCAAGACCATGGACAACGCCTCCCTCCCTCACCAAATAAGTACTCTGTCTATCTCCCAACCAAACTTTGTCTTTAGGTATTACGAAACGACGATCCGCGACGTGTTAATTATGTTTATTAGTTTAATATCGACGTGTGCTGTGGTTATAAAACCACATTCGTTTTATACACTTTAGATTTGTATCAGCGCTGTGTATACCACAAAATTCGTCTAATTATTCTTTCCTAAACCTAAGCCGGTGTTAGGAAGAAGGAAAAAATCATTGTGGTGTTTGTAGCTGAAAAAGTAATATAAAGCAAGAATACTTTTTTTATATATATAAA